CTGAGGAAGGGTCACCAGACCCGAAACGTTAACTCTGTTTTTCCCTTCGTAGATGCTGCCAGACCTACTGAGCTTCTCCAGCAACTTTGTTTTTGTTCCTGATTTACAGCATCCGCAGTTCTTTCGGTTTTTGTTCATTGATTAGTCTGGTAATGAAGAAAGTATTGGTAATTTACGATCAATCAGGAAATGGCCAACTGCTAGTTTGATCTTCAATGACATAACTTTGGACAGTTCACCAGGGTGTTCTACTTTTAAACTGGTGTCAAACATTGTTGTTCTCTCCTTTACTGTCAAAATGTTATTCCCAGTATAAAGTTGTTTTCAAGATGGCAGCTAACACATGACAGCATTAGCCTTCTGTGCAGTTCTGTAATGTTCATTTGCAAGGAAACCCCATGGTGTTAACATGGTTCTGTTATTTGCATAAGCCTTTGAGCCAGACAGTGTGGCTTCAAGCCTCACTCCACGGATTTGAGTGTAAAATCAAGTCTGATGGGCCAAGAGTGGGAGATTCCCACACAGTTAGAAATGACATTCTTTAAGTAACACTTAAACTAAGAACAGATTCTGGTGTGGGACACTGTCCTCAACCAACTGCGCCACTACAGACTGACTATAACATGTTACCTGTCTTCACTTATGCAAAAGTTCATATGGCAGTATTTCAAAGGAGATTATCTAGTCATTTGGAATGCTTGCCTTTATTGGTCAGTGCATTGAGTATAGGAGTTGGGAGGCCATGTTGCAGCTGTACAGGACATGGTTAGGCCACTTTTAGAATACTGTATACAATTCTGGTCTCCCTGCTATAGGAAGAATGTTGTGAAATTTGAAAAAGTTCAGAAAAGATTTACAAGGACGTTACCAGGGTTGGAGGGTTTGAGCTATATAGAGTGATGTTGAATAAGCTGGGGCTATTTTCTGTGGAGCATCGGAGGCTGAGGGATGACTTTATAGAGGTTTATGCAATCATGAGGGAAATGGATAGGATGGGGGAGTGCAAAACTAGGCGGTGTAGGTTTAAGGTGTGAAGGGACTGATTTAAAAGGGACTTGAGGGGCAACTTTTTCACAGTGTGTGGTACATGTATGGAATGAGCTGCCAGAGAAGTGGTAGAGGTTGGTACAATTACAACATTTAAAAGGTATCTGGATGGGTATGTGAATAGGAAGAGTTTCAAGGGATATGGGCTAAATGCCGGCAAATGGGACGAGATTAATTTAGGATATCTGGTCAGCATGACCGAGTTACACAGACACAGACTGTTTGTTTATGACTGTTTATTTCTTTGTAATGAAGGATCCATTCTTTGCAACCATGTTGCCAAAGACATTGGTGGTTTTGTAGAACTGTGGGCATAGTTTCAGTACTGGAAAGTGACTATGGAGGAAGAGGATGGTAACAATGGTAGCAGGGAAGAGTTTCTGTACAAGTGACTGTCTTCGTCGTCGATGTCTGGGGTTGCTTGTGCGGAGCATATGTAGATATGCTACAAGAAGTACATTTAAATTGTGAGTCAACAAGCCAATAGATAAGGATAAGAAGCAATTCAGCTACTTATATTTTGACATTCATTGTCAACAACCCCTTTGTGGACTTCTACATAATTTTGCAATATTCATTTCGTTAGTCATGATCTTCATTATAACAAACCCACTCAGATCTCGGGATCTTTGTGCATCACTAATCAGACTTGCCATATTGAGTCCACATTTCATGAAGAGAGATTCAAGATAGATCCAAAAACTGCCGTAATCAGTGCCAGTAACTGGTACATAGGAAATGAGAAATCCTTTATTTCATAGTCATTACGAAGTTGTACAGTTTAGTGTCGGTAGCTGCACTCCAAATCATAGTAGTATTTACTCAAACGATTGGCCTTCATGTTCAAGCATTCCGGTTCTATTCACTGCAAGACATCCTTTCTAACAATTTGTTTCCAAACAAAATGTTCTCTCACTTCTGTCAGTCAATCTGCGATTGTGATTTGAGTATTGTCTGTGGTACAGGTGCAACCCAAGTTTACCCTCGTCATCCTTGGCTTTCTTCTTAACACCCCTGAGGTAAAATATTTGTGCATCCTCTGGAGCTGAAGCTAGCACAGAGGTCCACTGAGGCCTATCCATTCCTTAGTAGCTTTCACATATTGACCTTTTTTTTTGTCGCAAGGTCTCAAAGTACCAAGATTTTCAACCATCCAAAGCTGCCACTACTATTTAGAAGTTTTACCAGTCCATTAGAATTTTATACAAGGTTTCTACAAATTAGAAAACTGAACTG